CCCCTGCCCACAGTTCTCTGTTGGCCAAATGGGGAAGCTTTTCCTCCCTCCCCTCCCTGCCCTGTGGCCAAATCCCAAAAGTTCTGCCTTCCAAAGGGGTTTCCTGGAAGAATTTATTGTGTTTCCTAAAAAAATGTGACTGTAATTCATTACTTTTGATGTGCCATAATTAGCTAATGAGCAGTCCTTACATACCTGCACTTGACAGTTCTAATGTGCCCACCAGATAAAGTCCAAGCGCCAGGAACTGCATGGGTGCATGCAGGAGCATCAAGATAATGCAAATGGCCTTTGGAGGACCCTCAAGTGGGAGGCAAGACGCTTGAGCTGGGTACCTTTCCTTGGACTGTCTTGGGCTGGACTCATTCTTTCTCTGGTCTTGAATCTTCCCAGGGAAGAACAGTATCTCATGGCCACCAAGAGCCAGGGTGCTGTCCCCAGAATGGTGGAGTGCAGACCTCATCCCTGCCTCTTACCAGCTGAGTAACTTGGGGAAAGTGACTCACTCACTCTAAGCTTCGGTTTCTTCATCTGTAAAATGGAGATGATTTTACAGATCATCTCCATAAAAAATATGATTTACCACCTACAGTTGTAATATTTATATGGTGAACCAATGCATGTAAAGCACCTTGCACAGCACCCAGTACTTAGAAAACTCTTCAAATATCTTAGTTGCACATGGGATGATACAAATACAGGAGTTAAGAAGAAATTACTTAGTCAGATAGTGAGGGTGCAGAAGTGCTCGGTAGGGTTTTCCTTTTAAAGAAGAGCAGCCCCCAATTATTTTCCTTTGTAACGAAGAGCAGCCTGTAAAATCGAGCTGCAGACACGGATGCTGACAGCTGTGCCAATCATGTTCAAGATGGCGGCTCCATCTTCCCTTCTGTTTGTCTGCCATGTGTACAGTAAGGAGCAGACAAGACAGCCCCAGCCAAGGGGAAAGTCCATTTGAGTAGTAAGATTAGGGTGGGGTGGCTCGCCCTCCACACTCACTATGTAAATGTCATACCTGATGGAACCAATCTGTGAGCTGTATGTAAATCAGACCCCATCTCCTCAAGCCTAACTGTGCAATTCTGGCTCATCCACCACTGGCTGGTCTTTTCCTCTGAGAAGTCCCCTCTCTCAGCAGAGAGAGAGCTGTTTTCCTTTCTCTTTTGCCTATCATGTGTGTCCGTGTGGTAAATTTTCCTGACATGAGACGACCAACCCTGGGTATTTACCCCAGACAACGTAGCCGCTTCAGTAATCATGTTAAAGATATACAGAAGAAGAGGCAGGAAGGAGTGGCGACTGTATGAAATGCCCCAGGTGCCAACCGGGGACAGTCCTGGAGTTGGAAGGGCAGGAGGGAGGATGGTTATGTTTGATATTCAGAAAACCTGATGGAAATCTCACATCTACTTACGTACTATGAAGCCACAAAAGACAAGAATGGTAACTTTCTTTGTTTTTAACTGAAACTACATTAACTCCTTGTGGTAAACTAAAAGACTTTGGAGTTAAATAGACCCATACTAAGGCAGGGCATGTGCCACTGAGTAAGGAGAGTAACATTCCCAGCAGAAACTAACAGCGCCGGCCTTGCAGGGCAATTAGGATTAGATGAGGTACTGTGCAGAAAGCACTTAGCCTGGATCAGGCACACAGTAGGTACTTCCTTCATGACACCCACTAATTCTGATATCCTTCCTTAGCCTCTCTGGACCTTGGCTTCTTCATAAACATAAAAATCTTACCACCTGCTTTACTCATTCGGCAAATATTTACTGAGCCAAGTACTATGAACACAAAAACGGATTCACCAGACACAGTTCCTGGCCTCTCAGGGGCTACAGTTTGAGATCGTGCATTATTCATCCTTTCAACAGGTATTTTTACTGAACATTTACTATGTAACGGTTTGCATAAGGGACATGAGAAATGCAATAGTAAGACAGATTCAATTCCCCACTGCCCACAGAATTACAGCCTAGAGAAGCTGTAGTAAAATAATCCAGTGGAATGCCTAGCATATAGCAAGTCTCAATATATCAGTTATCTGGATGCCAATCAGAAGCTCTGTATGTGGAATTTTGGTAAAGTTAATTCAAAAAATGTGGAACATTGGTGATTTCTTAACACATGAAATTTGTTTGGTACATGGGGGCTTTTAAAGTATAAGGAAAGTCCAAGGAATATAAAATATTTAGGTATATACCTTACAAAGCATGTACAAAAGCCATATTCCAAAAGTTATAAAGTGCGGGTTAAAAAACAAACAAAACAGAAGAGCTAAATAAATGAAGAAGCATACTGTGTTCACAGGCTAGAAGACACCACATAGTGAGTATGACAGTTCTCCCCAAAGTGATTCATAGGTTTGATGCAATTCCTATCACAGTCCCAGCTGGGCATGTTGTGGACTAGATAAATTTGTTCCAAAGTTTATACGGAAAAGCATAGGTCCTAGGAGAGCTGAAACAATCTTGACAAAGAAAAACAAAATGGGAAAAATTGCTCTACCTGCTATTAAGGATCACTGAATAGCTACAGCAATCAAGGCAGTGTGGCATTGATTCAGGAATAGATGCATAGATCAGTGAGGCAGAATACACAACAACTGGTCCTGGAGCAACTGGACATCCACAAACAAAAAAGATGGACCTTAAACTTCATGCTTTATACAAGAATTGATTCCAGATGGATCATAGGCTGAAATATGAAGCATAAAGCTATGCAACCAAAAAAAAAAAAAATAGGAGAAAATCTTCGGGACCTAGGGCTAGCTGAAGAGTTTTTAGACTTGCCACGAAAAAGCACAATTTATAAAAGAAAAAGTGGTAGATTGGATCAAAACTTAAAACATTTTCTCCGCAAAATTCCCTGTAATGAGGTTGAAAAGATAAGCTACAAACTGGGAGAAAATAATCTGCAAACCATATATCCTAAGAAGGACTAGTATCTAAAATGAGCAAAGAGCTCTCTCAAAACTCAACTGTAGCAAAACCAATCCAATTAGTAAATGGGCAAAAGACAGGAGCAGATATCCACTGAGGAGGAGATGCAGATGGCAAGCAGGCATATGAAAAGATGTTCAGGCAGGGCATGGTGGCTCTCTCCTGTAATCCCAGCCCTTTGGGAGCCTGAGGTGGGAGGATTGCTTGAGGCCAGAAGTTCAAGACCAGCCTGGGAAACATAGCAAGACACTGTCTCCACCAAAAAAAAAAAAAATCGTTTAATAATTTTTTTAAAACAAGATGTTCAACATCATAATATCATTAGCTATCAGGGAAATACATATTAAAACCACAGTGAGATGTCACCAAACCTCTATCAAAATGGTTAAATTAAAAAATAGTGAAAACAGATATTGGTGGGGATGAGGAGAAACCAAATCACTCATACATTGTTAATGAGAATGTACAATGGCACAGCCATTCTGGAAAAGTTTGACAATTTCTTATAAAACTATCATGCCGTGACATTATAGCCCAGCAATTGCACTGTCAGGCATTTATCCCAGAGAAATGAAACGTATGTTTACCTAAAAGCATGTACAACAATGTTCACATCGCCTTTACCCACAAGAGTCAAAAGCGGGAGGCAGCCAGGTTTTGATCATGTTTGGAACATGTCCTTCAATATGGCATACACATATCACAAAATACTACTCAACACTCAAAAGGAATGAACTACTGATACATGCAATGTATTGGATTAATTTCCAGGAAATTATACTCTGCTTTTTTTTTTAAGCCAATCCCCAAAGGTTAAATGCTGTTTCATTCCATTTATGTGGCATTTAGAATAAACAAATTTTAGAAAGAGAGAGCAGATAAGTGGTTTCCAGGAGTTAGGAACAGTGTGGGCGGGGCTGGGAGGCAACAGCCATCACGAAGCAGCACAAAGTCTCTAGTAGTTTTGAAATTCTTCTGTATTTTGACTGTAGTCCTAAGTACACGAACCTACACAAAATTCTTTAAACACACACACACAAAAATGAGAACAAGTAGCACTGGGGAAGTCTGCTTAAGATTGGTAGCGTGTATCAGTGTCCATATCCAGGCTGTGTACTCCTACTGCAGTGATGCAGGCTATTACTGTATCATGGGGGGAAGCTCCATAGACGGGACACAGTATCTCTCTGTATTATTTGTTTGTTTGTCTGTCTGTTTTTAAGACAGAATCTCACTCTGTTGCCCAGGCTGGAGTGCAGTGGCACAATCTCAGCTCACTACAAACTCCACCTCCCAGGTTCAAGTGATTCCTCAGCCTCCTGAGTAGCTGGGACTACAGGCATGCACCACCACACCCAGCTAATTTCTTTTTTCTTTCTTTTTTTTTTATTTATTTACAGTAGAGATGGAGTTTCACCATATTAGCCAGTGTGGTGATCCTAACCTCATGATCCACCCATCTTGGCCTCTCAAAATGCTGGGATTACAGGTGTGAGCTACCGCGGCCGGCCTCTGTATTGTTTCTTACAATTGCATGTGAATCTACAATTATTTCCATACATTTTTCAATTATAAATAGCTTTTTGTGTGTGTGATTTTTTTAAATAGAGAGATGGTCTCACCATGTTGCCCAGGCTGATCTTGAACTTCTGGACTAAAGCAATCCTCCAGCCTCAGCCTCCCAAAGTGCTAGAAATTGATTACAGGTGTGAGCCACTGCACCCAACCTATTGTTTTTACTTTAGAATTAGCATTTTTTATTTAAAACTTGCAAATACAGAAGAAAAGAATCAGAAAAATCATCATCCTGAAACAATCTTTTGACGGATTTCTTCCTGACCTTTGTTTTCTACATTCATATGAAAAAAGTGAGGGAAGGGGCTAAAATCGGGATGGTGGGAAGGTGGGAACCTTGCTGTCCCCACCTTCTGTGACATCAGAACTCAATGCTTGAGGGATGCCTGGTGACCACAGGTGGGGGGGAGGGGGGAAGGGTGCCCTTCTGCCTATTGAGTGAGGGGACCTTGGTCCACACAAGTAGCCAGATCTGAGGCTATGGCGACCCAGCAAGTGGGTAGCAGGAGGCAGGTGGCAGCAGAGCGAGTGGCAGCCCAGCTGCTTGAACGGAGAAGGGGCAGCCACTGTGAGGACAAGAAGCAGGTGAGGCCAGGCCAGGTACATGCTGCTTTCCTCCCATCTGGGCTCCTTTTGCCACTCCAGACAGACGGTAAGGCCCCCAAAGCCAAAAATGGACCTTGGACCCAACTGCCCCTGGATCCTACCCTGGTGGAACACAGCTTACGGGCTTAGGCACTTCTTGCCAGGGCTGTAACTGACACTGTCTTATTATATTCTCAGCACTGCCAGTAGAAGGTATGTTCCAGGAGGAATAGACTTTTTGTTTAGTTTCCTGCTGAATCCCTCGTGTCTAGCATAGTGCTTGGTGCCTAATAGATGCTTAATGAATGAATGAACTGAAGTAAATAGGATAATACTCTTGAATTGGAGAGCTCCTGGAGGATTCATTCTCAGGGCTGAAATTCGAACTTCATGTGGGATTTTGTCAAAATGGAAAACATTAACACTTGCTGCATACAGCCTGGTGCTTCCACGACCCATCTCGTAGATGCTGTCAACCTCATTCATAGACGGTAAACTGAGGCCCAGAAAGGCAAAAAGACCATACAGCTGGGGCATATCAGGATTTGAAAACATATCTGTCTGATTTTAGTACCCCTTGAAACCAGGTTCATCTGCTGTGAGAACCCTGAGCAAGGGTTTATTCTGAAGATAAGAAGAAGCTGTTGAAGGGTTTTAAGCAGAGCAATGAATGAATGACCTCCACTGTCTCTGTTTTCAAAAGACTTGCTCACTCATTCATTTACTGTACCTACACCAAGCACCAACTGTATGCTGGACCTTGTAGTATATAACAGGGGCCTTCACCGGCACCTGTCATGCTGCAGCTTTTTCTAAAAAGTGTTCCACAGGCATCAAAGCCCAGGCATGCTCCTTTTAGAAACATTCTTTAGAGAATTCTGTGGCTTGGGGAAGGCTGCATACCTTCATCCCCTCCTGGAGACTGACGCTGCTCATTCACGTAAGGAGGGCCCTGAGAAGTCCTGTGGGAAAGAAGTCGGCTCAGCTTTGTTTACCACAGCATTTCGCACCTTGATTCTACCAGAGCCACATTGTTTCTTTTTTGAAAGACTTTTCAGTGTATTTCAAAATCCATTTTACAGACAAAGAAACTGAAGCTCAGAGAAATTACTTGGCTCAGGCCCTAAGACAACACGAAGAAAAGGACTGAAACACCATCCTAGTCCTTTTTCCTCCCCTTGCCTCCATGCAGCGCAGAATAGAAACCCAGCAGCAAGAATGCTGGGGAGGAAATCAACCTGTAAAGTACATTGATAGAGGACTGGTTAGATACATAGAAGAGCTTCCAGGCCGTGAAAACTCATCAGCCATTTTAAAGATGGAGACAATTAGTGTGTGTCTTTCATGAAAAGATCCCTAAGGAATATTGTTAAGAAAAGAAAAAGGACCCTAATATCAAATGTACAGTGTGATCATTTCCTACTGGGTATACACACGATCAAGCTATAGAACATTTCTAGCACCAAGGGAGGTTATTTCGGGGCTCTGCTCACCTGACATCCCACCCCCCATAGCAGTGATTCTAATTTCTGCCATCATAGCTGAGTTTACTATGTTCTTTAATTTCTTTTATTATTATTATTTTTATACTTCAAGTTCTGGGTTACATGTGCAGAATATGCAAGTTTGTTACAAAGGTATACACGTGCCATGGTGGTTTGCTGCACCCATGCACCCGTCATCTACATTAGGTATTTCTCCTAATTCTATCCCTCCCCTATCCCCCAACCCCACAAGAGGCCCAGTGTATAATGGTCCCCTCCACGTGTCCATGTATTCTCATTGTTCAACTCCCACATATGAGTGAGAACATGTCGTTTTTATTTTTCTGTTCCTGTGTTAGTTTGCTGAGAATGATGGTTTCCAGCTTCATCTATGTCCCTACAAAGGACATGAACTCATCCTTTTTTATGGCTGCATAGCATTCCATGGTGTATATGTGCCACATTTTCTTTACCCAGCCTATCATTGATGGGCATTTGGGTTGATTCCAAGTCTTTGCTATTGTGAATAGTACCTCAATAAACATACGTGTGCATGCATCTTTATAGTAGAATGATTTATAATCCTTTGGGTATAAACCCAGTAATGGGATTGCTGGGTCAAATGCTATTTCTGGTTCTAGATCCTTGAGGAATCGCCACACTGTCTTCCACAATGGTTTTTACACTCCCTCCAACAGTGTAAAATATTCCTGTTTCTCCACATCCTCTCCAGCATCAGTTATTACCTGACTTTTTAATGATTGTCATTAGAACTAGCATGAGATGGTATCCCACTGAGGTTTTGATTTGCATTGCTCTAATGACCAGTGGTGATGATGAGCTTTTATTCATACGTTTGTTGGCCTCATAAATGTCTTCATTTGAGAAGTGTCTGTTCATATTCTTTGCCCACTTTTTGATGGGGTTGTGTTTTTTCTTGTCAATTTGTTTAAGTTCTTTGTAGATTCTGGACATTAGCCCTTTGTCAGATGAATAGATTGCAAAAATTTTCTCCCATTCCATAGGTTGCCTGTTCACTCTGATGATAGTTTCTTTTGCTGTGCAGAAGCTTTTTCATTTAATTAGATCCCATTTGTCAATTTTAGCTTTTGTTGCCATTGCTTTTGGTGTTTTAGTCGTGAAGTCTTTGCCTATGCCTATGTCCTGAATAGTATTGCCTACGTTTTCTTCCAGAGTTTTTATGGTTTTAGGTATTATGGTTAAGTTTTTAATCCATCTTGAGTTAATTTTTGAATAAGGTATAAGGAAGGGGTCCAATTTCAGTGCTCTGCATATGGCTAGCCAGTTTTCCCAACATCATTTATTAAATAGGAAATCCTTTCCCCATTGCTTGTTTCTGTCAGGTTTGTCAAAGACCAGATGGTTGTAGATGTGTGGTGTTATTTCTGAGGCCTCTGTTCTGTTCCGTTGATCTATTTATCTGTTTTGGTACCAGTACCATGACGTTTTGGTTACTGCAGCCTTATACTATAGTTTGAAGTCAGGTAGGGTAATGCCTCCAGCTTCGTTCTTTTTGCTTAGGGTTGTCCTGGCTATGCAGGCTCTTTTTTGGTTCATATGAAATTTAAAGTAGTTTTTTCTAATTCGTGAAGAAAGTCAATGATAGCTTGATGGGGATAGCATTGAATCAATAAATTACTTTGGGTAGTATGGCCATTTTCACAATATTGATTCTTCTGGTTCATGAGCATGGAATGTTTTTCCATTTGTTTGTGTCTTATTTCCTTGAGCAGTGGTTTGTAGCTCTTCTTGAAGAGGTCCTTCACATCCCTTGTAAGGTGTATTTCTAGGTAATTAATTTTCTTTGTAGCAGTTGTGAATGGGAGTTCACTAATGATTTGGTTCTCTGTTTGTCTGTTATTGGTGTATAGGAATGCTTGTGGTTTTTGCACATTGATTTTGTATCCTGAGACTTTACTGAAGTTGCTTATCAGCTTAAGGAGATTTAGGGCTGAGACAATGGAGTTTTCCAAATATACAATCATGTCATCTGCAAACAGAGATAATTTGACTTCCTCTTTTCCTAGTTGAATACCTTTGTTTCTTTTTCTTGCCTGATTGCCCTGGTCAGAACTTCCAATACTATGTTGAATAGGAGTGGTGAAAGAAGGCATCCTTGTCTTGTGCCAGTTTTCAAAGGGAATGCTTCCAGTTTTTGCTCATTCAGTATAATATTGGCTGTGGGTTTGTCATAAATAGCTCTTATTATTTTGAGATGTGGTCCATCAATACCTAGTTATTAAAAGTTTTTAGCATGAAGGGATGTTGAATTTTGTCAAAGTCCTTTTCTGCATCTATTGAGATAATCATGTGGTTTTTATCATTGGTTCTGATTGCGTGATGAATTACATTTATTGATTTGCATATGTTGAACGAGCCTTGCATCCCAGGGATGAAGCTGACTTGATCATAATGGATAAACTTTTGGATGTGCTGCTGAATTCAGTTTGCCAGTATTTTATTGAGGATTTTTACATCGATGTTCATCAGGGATATTGGCCTGAAATTTCCTTTTTGGATTGTGTCTATGCCAGGTTTTGGTATTAGGATGATGCTGGCCTCATGAGTTAGGGAGGATTCACTCTTTTTCTATTGTTTGAAATCATTTCAGAAGGAATGGTACCAGCTCCTCTTTGTACCTCTGGTAAAACTTTGCTGTGAATATGTCTGGTTCTGCACTTTTTTTGGTTGGTAGGCTATTAATTACTTCCTCAATTTCAGAACTTGTTATTGGTCTATTCAGAGATTCGAGTTCTTCCTTGTTTAGACTTGGGAGAGCGTACGTGTCCAGGAGTTTATCGATTTCTTCTAGATTTTCTAGTTTATTTGTGTAGAGGTGTTTATAGCATTCTCTGAAGGTAGTTTGTATTTCTGTGGAATCAGTGATGATATCCCTTTATCATTTTTTATTGCATCTATGGGATTCTTCTCTCTTTTCTTCTTTATAAGTCTGGCTAGTGGTCTATTTTGTTGATTTTTTCACAAAACCAGCTCCTGGATTCATTGATTTTTGAACAGTTTTTCACGTCTCTATCTCCTTCAGTCCTGCTCTGATCTTAGTTATTTCTTGTCTTTTGCTAGCTTTTGAATTTGTTTGCCCTTGCTTCTCTAGTTCTTTTCATTGTGATGGTAGAGTGTCAATTTTAGACCTTTCCTGTTTTCTCTTGTGAGCATTTAGTGCTATAAATTTCCCTCTACACACTGCTTTAAATGTATCCCAGAGATTCTGATATGTTGTCTCTTTGTTCTCATTGGTTTCAAAGAACTTCTTTATTTTTTCCTTAATTTTGTTCTTTACCCAGTAGTCATTCAGGAGCAGGTTGTTCAGTTTCCATGTAGTTGTGTGGTTTTGTGTGAATTTCTTAATCCTGAGTTCTAATTTGATTGCACTGTTGTCTGAGAGACTGTTTATTATGATTTCTGTTTTTTTGCATTTGCTGAGGTGTGTTTTACTTCTAATTTTGTGGTTGATTTTAGAGTAAGTGTGATGTGGTG